ATAACAAAACAATAAGATAATTCAAACCCTTCGGGTCTCTTCCTTTGCCATTCCTTGATATATGTTATCTGAGGATGTTCCGGCTTTGGGGTGGTTCCAGTTTGTTTCCCTATTGTGGGAGTTGAGTTTTCTTACATCCTTTCGATACTGGATGTACAGTTCCCAGATCGATCTATCAAACACTACTACATGTACCATGTTTGGATGTGGTTGTCGGTTCCCAGAAGTGAGGCTTTGGACGTAGTTGTGATACCCTAGCCACTCTACATCTGGGAGCACATTCGTTGTTTACCTACTTTTATACATTGGGATTGTCTTCCATATCATATGGTTTGGCACACTCTATCCAGCTGGAGTTCTCTCCCACTTGGATATGCTCCTCATGTATGGGCGAAGAGTATACTTTGTTCAGAAGTGGTGCAGTTCCCCTCATCAGATCTTCAGGTCTGAATCTCTCATTTCCATTGATTTCCCTTGCACTGGTCCCTCCTCCTATGTAATTCCAGTTAATCTTATGAGCAGAGGGAATTACCTGATTGAAATGTATTTCCATCTTCTGCTAAACTCGAAGTGATAGTTTGGTGAAAGAGTATAGAGGGGTCCACATGCGTCATGTGACTATATTGCACTCCATTGGTGGAGAAGTGATGCATGAGAGACATATTGGAATCACTAGATGCAGGAGAGCAGATGGCTGGTGACATGCATTCAAAAAAGTTTGCACATAGAGGGCAGCACTGAACAGGTATAGCTGATCTTGTGAGACAGGGAATTATCTATCAGAAATACATTTTCAGTATAGGAAAATTTTAACTTTTAACCTATATTTTGCAACAATTATTGCTCCAGGGCCATTTTAATCTGTTCTTTGTATCCATTCTTTACTAAAATATTGTTATTTAATAACAAACATAACTAAAATAGGTTTTGCCAATATTGTTTATTAATGTTTTTACTGTACAATGTTTGTTGACAACTTAGGTAGTGTATGCTACAGGAAATGAACAGTTAGCAGAATTTATATCTGCTATTGCTAGCTCGTCTCAACAAACGTCAAAAATTTGGAGTGATCCAGATCTTGGGAATGGAAGTTGGCTTCATGGAGAACATAGTAAGGTGAGAACATTCTAAAGTTTAAGTACTTTCAATAAGTAAACCAGAGCAAGTCCAGCAGCTGGACCAACATTTTGTCACAGTAACTGTATAGCTTTTTAAACTATTTTGCACTTCAAAATAGATAGAATTATAATAGAATAGTAGTATGTATGAGTCAGTATAATAATACATAATAAATTACATGTGCAATCTGTAAGTGTACATGCTTAACTTTGCTTACAGCTATGGTGAGTACAAATGCCAGTGAACACCTATTTTTGTGAATCATAAAGAAGTGCTTGCAAATGATTAATACTTTCAATAAACTATAGTAAAATTAGCACAAAATTCAATGTCGGAGCATCTATTTTTCCCACTTTGCACACTATTCTGAGTTATCTGACCAATTGAAAAAAAAACGCTTCCCCCACCCATGTTAAAAAACATTTAACATGTAACAGAAAATAGTAAAGCTGAAAAAACATCTGTGTTGAAAATTTTAATCTTCTTTTGTTGATTTCTTTCCCCTACTAGAATTTCATCTTGATTAAGTAAGTTTGTTGTGTAATAATTAAATAATATGTCTTGTCCACTGTTGGAATACTGTTATGCCGAAGGAGTGTAGGGTGTTGTCAAAATAGATGGTATTATGAATAAGGCCCAGTACCACATCATTCTGTTGTATTGTACAATTTATCAAATTAACAGCATTTATTTGGTTCTAGTTTTGTTTTTAATTTCCTTCTAATAGGCTGCAGATATTGAATGGTAGTGTTTGGTGTGGTATGTGTTGATTCTTGAGTGCATATACTTGTTCCTAATTATTGGTTCTTGTTAGCTTTACCTTGGTAGATGATGTATCCCCACTGCTGTGTGGGTCTTACTTTTCAGATACCTCTTATTGGAGTAAATATTACCTTTATCAAGATGTAGTTTGTAACCTACCTTTATTTGTCTGTCTTTTGTGTGTGATAGGTTTTGTATTTCACCTCTTTCTTTGAATGTGAAAGTTATGATATCATTATATATATGTATATGCACACACACACTTTTATAAGTATATATTTACTGTATCTGAAATATGTTCAAGTATAATAGATTATTGATTTACAGAACAACCTGAAATTATTCTTAGATTAATAACCTTTCACCACTATTATAAAAAATTGGTATTGCAATCAATAATCTTCTTAATATTGAGAAATAAGTCATTTTTGTATTTGATTATTTGCTGCCATTAAAATTGTTACTCTAAATATTGTACAGCTATAGCTATATGTCTTCCTCATCATTTTTTTTTTCTTTTGCAGCATGAAAATTTTCTGTTGAGATTCCCATGTCTCAATTCAATCTGGTAAGACTACATAGAATTACACATTAGACTATAATATGAAATAATAGTGATGAAATATGAAGTGAGTTTATAAATTTTATTAAATAAAGAATAAAATAACTAAATTATTTTAATACCACACTATATTTTTCTTTCCTGTTTTGGAACTGAAAATAAATCAAGCACAGGAGAAACTTAGCAGCAGTAGAAATTGTTAAATAATCACTGATCTTATACCACCATGTGGATCATCCCTTTATTCTAATTTGCTTTACCATGTTCACTTAAGTCCCATTTATTGAAAGTTTAATGATTAAACTTTATAATTAAGCTATATCATTTGAAAAAGCATCAAAGCGAAGCTTGATAGATAGAATGCCTTGTAATATCCTTAACTCATATCAGTTCCTGAGGAGAGCCCAACAGCAAACCATGTTTATTGGACTAATATTCATGTTGAAAAAAAAGACAGCAGTGTTTGAGTGTGGATTACCCATAGGTTGATACTTTTAATTGTTAACAATTTTAAACTCTAATAATATTTCATTTTTATTGTCATTACAATTGCCTTGAATGTTACAGATGAAAAGTTTTAAGATTAAGGTCCACTGGCATTGCTAGTACTATACAAAAAACTGTTTACTTAAAGCATCCATCTCATACCTTTGTTTTTGGCTTTGATGCGAATGCAGCTTACTTCTTAATCTGATGAATGATGCTCAGAGCATATTTGCTTTAGTGATACATATAGCAGGTAGTTTTCTTTTAGCTTGTCTCATTTGCTCTTCTTCAGTGGGTGTTTATTGGCATAAATGGAAAGTGTTCTGCAGTTAATCTAGGAGTTAGAGATTTCCTGCAGATCAAAACCCTTTGTCTGGGTGACAGAGTTTCTCCTCTGGTTTTTCGACCATGGGTTTTTGGTCCCCTCAGTCTTGGGTTATTGGGCAGCTTTGTCCCATACCTCCATTTTTTTCCAGATACCGTGGAGTTTTACCTCACTTGTCCTTACTACGTTCATATGTTCCTTCCAGATTAGTTGTCCTGACTGCCTAGCATTCCGACCTGGGAAATTAATGTGATATTTTATTCCCTCATTTTACCTTCATTTGCTTCACTTTTCTCATGTTTCACTTTCTCTTCAAACTTATGTAGGTTGGAGGTCGGATTTGTTTCCTGTGTTGTTGCTCATACATTTTTCTCACTCTCTTTCTTCTCCTTTATTTGGATCTTTCCTTCCTAACCAATGTATGAGTGGCTAGGGAAGGTAACTCCTCATTTTTTTCTTAATTCCCTTTCTTCCATTTCCCATCTTTATCCTCATCCCAATCCTTATCAACTCCTATTCATGGTTTGTGCTCTTCATTATTCTATTGCCTGTATGGCTTTTTTTTCCTGGTGCCCACTCCTGCCTCTTTATTCCTAGGCATTTTTTCCTCGAGTCGAGATCTTTCTCCTTCCATCCTCACTAATTGTGTTTGGATTTTGATCCCATTGGCATACTCTACTTTATCGTCCTCTTCACAGACCTTGTTCCAGATGTCTTCTCATCAGATTCAACATCCTTACCTTTTATCTGACATTTTATCTTCTTTGGGCATCAGGTCTACATTTAATACGTTCATCTCCCCTTATCTACACCATATCACAGTTTCTTCCTCCTTGGGTTTTCGTCTACCACCTGTGACTGTTTTTCATACTTCAGTGCAACTCTACCTGGGTAAGTTTCTGTTCGTTATTATTTTCCTTTAAGGGGCCCTTGCTTCATTATTCACTATTTGGATCTTGCTTCATGTTGAGCAGTGCTTGGCCAAGTATCCTTCAATTGAAATCTGCACTGTACAGCTATGTTGAATTGTGCTCTCTTCCATGGCTTCACAATGCTCACCAGTGAGATGGGGTGTTCCACAAGTTCACTTGAAGGTGAATAATCTCACAATGTTTTTACTTCATAAACATGCTTGTTCCAGACCATACCACTCATGAATAGCTGCCCATCCCTGCCATGCCCTGATTGAATAAATTGGTATAGTCTGCTTTTCCAGATAGGGTTTTGTGGTCACACATTGCACTGTCTCTGGTGGTGACTTTCTCTGGACTCTCAACTGCTTATTCACTCTCTTTCTTCTAGTGGAGCATGGGAGTTCTTACCACTTTTTAGTTCCAAGCTGCTGGGGTGTTTGACCATGGAGACACCTTCCTGAATGGGTTCCACAAAAAAGAGGGCTATAACCATTCAGTCGAGAGTAGGGCATTGGTGTTCTGCTGATGTAGATGAGACGTTGCCTCCAGAGGAGTTGAGTTATCACTTTTCCGGATGACGTGGCCTCCTGAAACCATTTACACAACACTGGAGTTGAGCCATCAAAAATGCAGTTCACCCCTTCAATTGGGAGCCATCATCCTTTTGTCATGTGGAGGTCAGTACCCCATGGCCTGGTGTTGGGTTTAAAGTGAACCAATTCTCACACATATTTATGGTTGTCTATATTCCTCCCTCGATCAAACTCTTTGTGTTTTGTGGAGGTATAAACCTGATCTCCCTGCCAAGGACTGAATAGGAGCCAAGCGTGAAGATGAATGTCCAGATGGAGTCCCAGCAAATGAAGTGGATGAAGAAGGGTAGGAGACAAAGGAAGAGGCAGTGTAGGTAAAAGTTGGAGCTGAAGAAGTCACAGAAACCATGGTTGAGCTGGCCATTAAGGAGCAATCAGAGGGATTTAACACAGAATGGTAGGGATGAGGAAAATTACCCATGGAAGTAACAACATAACAGGAAAGTCTTAGAAGCTTTGGGTAAGATGACGTCAACAATATTACAAAAGCCTAGTACAACAATTACACTGCATATGCAATGTATGACTCATAACCATCACTTTTAAAATAATTAACTTTTTTTAACACTCTTCTTATGAAAATTAAATCATCATTAAATATTAAATCACTAAATAAACTAAATAACTCTTAAACTAAACAGTCTTGTATATCCAACAGATCTTTAATGTTACATGCTGTAGTTTGGGTATACTATTGTTATGCTTGCACATGACATAACCCTAGTAGTATGAGAGGTATTTAATATTAGGAGTACCAATGGCTATTTTCAGAAAGTAATTCTTTGAAATTTTGGGGAAGCTAGGCAATGTATCTGAAATTGTTTGCAGTCATACTGCAAATTTTAGTCACAAATATTGATGTAAGTAGCAGCAATCAGGTTCCTCATTTACTGAGTTCTTAATATATTAAGCAATGCAACTTTCAGTATGTAGGATACACTCCATGTTGCGTGTCTTCCACTGTTCTTCACCATTTTCATCTTCAAAATTGTAGGTGTTCAAGTATTCTTGGGGCATGAAGTTGAAACTTGACATAAATAAACATCTGTATATGTACAACAGTCCCTATAATTATTAATTCAGTATTTTGTAGAGATTCATATTAAATTATGTCATGCTATTTACACTACACTTACTGTCGTAAAGCACAACCTTGGAGAATATCACCATGCATAAATTTGACATGTACAACATGACTTTCTGCTGCTGTCTATAACAGATAATATGTTCATAGTAGCCAACAGCCATTAAATTTCCAATCAGATAATTCCCTCTGCTCACAAGATTAGCTATTTCCGTTTAGTGCTGTCATCTATATGCACACTTTTTTGAACTCATGTCACAAGCCTTGTGGTCCCACACCTCAATTGAAATCTAGTGATTCCAACATGTCTCTCATGCAAATCATTATGCATCACTTTTCCACCAATGGAGTGTGATCTAGTCACTTGACACATGTGTTTCCCTCTATACTCTTTCATCAAACTATCATTTCTCATTTGGCAGCACTTGTACTTGGACGTTTTTTGTCATTATTTACTGTTTCACGTTCATATTCAGTAAACTCACGAAGTGGTCTTCATTTATTATAACTTCCAGATTTTCTGGAGTTTTGAATTTGCCTTCATTTATCCCAGCTTATTCCAGTAAAGCTAATGTTACCACTTTGGGGGTCATGTCTATGACTAGTGCTATCTCACAGGTCACAGGTGCAGGTGACCTGGCATGGGAGAATAAACATTAAAGAGGTCAGCCTTTTTCTTCGGTTCTCACCCATAATTCCTCCTGTAGAAGCTGACCTTATTTGGGTGGATGGTGATCTTGATAACCATTTTCCACCACTGGATTTCAAGTGCTTGGTTTTTCATTTCCATTACCCAATATGGAGATGCTATGTTCTTTTTGCACGTTTATAATGGCTTTGTCATCTGTGGGATTCTCTCCACATAGATCCCTTTACTACATCTCTTAACCATCCATTACCATTACCTCTATTTGGTATCCGGTACCTCCTCCTTTAGCTAGGGCTGTGGATGCCTTTGGCTAGGATTGGTCCCACAAGTTCCTGTATGTTCATCCCACTATCCTGAATATTGTTGTTACTAGAGGGCTAGATATTTCTAGATTTTTCTGTTGCATGTTACAAATACATCAAGGAAGTAAATTAGTGAAATTAGTGAAAGTGAAAGTAAGACAAAGTTAGTGAGAGATCTAGAAATAACTGTGTTTGTAAGTTTAGCCATAAAGAGTGTATAATGGCGACTTTAAAGTATTATAATTGCAGACTGTATTGTAATAACAGAGCAGAGAATAATAATTTGCCATATCAATTGGGTTGTAAAGTAACTGAACCAGCTTGTGTGGAATTTTGATGTAAAAGAGAATTATTTAAAGCTCTGTACATAACTGTGATAACCAATAGTGTAACGATTTTTTGTAAGTACATTTGACATGTTTTGAATGCCTCTGAATAAAAGCGAAATGTAGGAAAAAACATTCTTACACTCACTTGGGGGGGGGGGATTCTAGAATCTATGTAAGCGAGATATGAAAACTGTAAAATAAAAAAAAATTTTTTTCTTAAAATAAAAATCACCTAGCACTCAGAGTATTCGGAGTCTGAGTCAGTGTGTCTATAACAAATTCAGAGACAAATCTTTAGTAGAAATACTTTATTAAAGATTCTGA